AACAAAGGAGCTCAATCAAAGACGAAGACCGCTACAGAGAATAACCACTCAATCATACTCGTGTGGGCCGCTTCCTGAACTTCAATTATTTTTTGTCTCTGTTTCCTTGAAATTGCTATCGGAAACTTCCAGGCTCACAGCTGGTTCTTCTTCCAAAAAGAAACATAAAGAAAGCAGCATTAGCTAGCAACCATTCACAGATACACATAGCATAACTCTGTTTCTTCCTGAAGCTACCATGGAGTCATTTTCCTTCAACGTTGTTGAGAAAGTGTTGGAAAGGCTTGCTTCCCATGCTTACCACGAAATTCGTTTGGCTTTGGATGTCGAGGATGATCTAATCAAGCTCCAAGAAACCTTGTCAACCATCGCAAAAGTTGTCCTAGATGCGGAGGAAAAACAGAGGAAGGATCCCCTGCTTGCTGACTGGTTAGGGAAGCTAAAAGATGTTTGCTATGATATGGATGATGTTCTCGACCAATTTGAATTCCGAAAATTGAGGATGCAACTGCTCAACTCTCGGAGTAATATCAAAGGAAAGGTATGCAACTTCTTTTCACGTCCAAATTCCTTTATGTTAAGCTACAAAATTGGTCAGAGAATCAAAGATATTAGAGAAAGATTGGGTGAAATTGCAGCTGCAAAAGCTCAGTTCAATCTGTATGAACGAGCTGCAGATTGGCAAGGGATGCACATAGAGAGGGAGACCCACTCTTTTGTGCATGCCCCGGATGTGATTGGAAGAGATAAAGATAAAGAAGAGATGATCATGCATCTTCTTAATGCCAATCGCACTGGTCATGGGGAGGAGAATGTTTCTGTTATTTCCATTAATGGGTTAGGAGGTTTGGGAAAGACAACACTTGCTAAACTGGTGTATAATGATAACAGAGTAGTAGGGAACTTTGAGTTGAGAATATGGGTGTGCGTCTCAGACGATTTCGACAATAAAAGATTGCTTCGAGAAATTGTTACTGCTGCAACAAGCCAAAAATGTGTGGATGAAAGCATTGAACAGATGCAAATTAAGCTGCGGCATGCTTTGACATGTAAGAAACTTTTGTTGGTGTTGGATGATGTTTGGGACAAGGGGCCAATGGGAATCACGGTGAAGAAATGGATTGATTTGAAGTCTTTGTTAAATGTGGTAGCCAATGGGAGTAAAATCATTGTAACAACACGCAATGAATCGGTTGCATTGCTTATGAGGCATGCACACATGCATCTACTGAAGGGCCTTCCCCACTCAGATTGCATGACTATATTCATAAAAATGGCATTTACAAAAAGAGAACAGGAAGACTATCCCAAGTTAATAAAAATTGGGGAAGATATTGTGAGGAAGTGTGGAGGGGTTCCTCTTGCCTTGTACACCCTAGGGGGCTTGCTCTATTCGAACAAGGATGAGCGATACTGGTCACATGTTAGAGACAGTGACATATGGAAATTGGAACAGGGAAGCGACGACATTTTACCTGCTCTTAAGTTAAGCTACGATGCATTGCCGATCTACTTGAAACCTTGTTTTGCCTTTTGTTCACTTTATCCAAAGGACTACGTATTTAGAAGTGCAGAATTGATCCCGTTGTTGATGGCTGAAGGCTTCATTCAATCCTCCAAAGGAAACGGGAACCAAGACCTTGAAGATATTGGTCTGGACTACATAAGGCAACTATGTTCTAGGTATTTCTTTCAGATTGAGGAAGATGATTTCCTTTTTCTACGGTTTAGAATGCATGACCTAGTTCATGATTTAGCAATCTCAATGGCAAGGGTAGAGTATTCGTCTCTAAATTTTCGTCCCTCTGATTCGTCTAAGATGGTTCGGCATGTGTCAATATCTCAGAAGGACTTGTCCAAGGAAAATGAAGAAAACCCCAAATTCTTACTTCGTCTGGAGAAATTGAGAACCATTCTAATTCCAGATTTGGATAGTGAATATATTCCTATAAAAGTTGGGATCAACAATCAATCTTTTTTAAAGAAATGCATCTCAAGAATCAACTACCTACGAGTGCTGGATCTTAGTAACTTGACTCTTAAGGTGCTGCCATGTTCCATCGGTAACTTGAGTCACTTGAGGTATCTCGATGTGTCATATAATCAGCATATAAATAAGCTTCCTGATTCCATTTGCAAGCTGCATCATTTACAATCCTTGCTACTTATAAACTGTGGAAAACTCAAGGAGTTGCCTAAGGACATGGGAAATCTGATTAGCCTTAGGTACTTGGCCTTAACCATAAATAAGACACATTTGCCAGAAGCAATTGGACGTCTCACCTCTCTTCGAACTTTATGCGTCAGTGCATGCAAGAATCTTAAATCTTTGGGCAAAGAGATGCGATCCCTCACTAACCTTCGAATGCTAGTCATTGTGAGCTGTCAAAACTTAGAATCCTTGTCATCTTGTAACATGACCACATTGGAAACTTTAGTCATCTATAGTTGCCCAAAGCTAAATTTGATGGGGTCAGAAGAAGGCATTCGAGGTCTTCAATCGTTTTGGATTGTAGGTTCGAATTTGACGGCCTTGCCTCATTGGTTGCAAGAGTCTGCAAACACACTAAAAACATTACAGTTGGGATTTTGTACCTATCTACAGTCACTTCCAGAATGGTTTCAAAACTTTACTTCGCTTCAAAAACTAAAGATTACACATTGTTCCCATTTGTTTGCTTTTCCCGAGGGCATGGATCGCCTCACTGCATTGAGAGAGTTGGAGATTAGCAATTGTCCTTTAGTTAGGAGATGCTGGCATGAAGGTGAGGATTGGTCGAAGATCGCTCATGTCCCAAAGATCATACTCAATGGTCATCGACGGCAAATTAGGTAACAATGTTATATACTTACTGATCTCTTCTTGGTTGTGCTATTTTCGGTTTTCATACTAAATGTTGCTATGCCTTTAGTTATTCTAAATCCAAATTGTGGACGCTTTGATGAAAGTTGAATTTCCATCTTCTTCTTCTTTTTTCAGTTCAAAATTTGAACGAGAGTATGTTTTTAGATTAACCTATTTGCTTAGTCTCTTAATAACAATATATGTATATAATTTCTCTTTTCTTCCTAACAATCGCAGATCTCATGGATAGGACCATTTGAGGTATTTCGTCCAGTCAATCCGGATTGATGTATGAAGACTTTTCCTTTTCTTTTCGTATTGTGATGTGTGTATGTTTTAGTGACCCTATGGTCAATGATTGATTTTTTTTCTTCAATTTTTTTTTACACCTGTATAATTGAAGCCCTCTGGTTTGTCTATCTTTTCCCCCTTGGTATGAAAGATATGAGTGGCCATATGAATGCTACTATTCTGGAAGTTTTCATGCAGTTGTTCCCTCATGAATGTTTTCAGGCAGCCTTCAAGAATGTTTAATCATATTACTTATTGGTGGACTGAGCACATGCTTAGCGAACTTTAAAATTTTAAGCACTGCATGAAACACAACGTATTTGAAGACCATTCGTAGTTCTTACATACCAACTGTTGAAATTAATGCACAGAACTGCACCCTTTTTTGTTTTTTTTTGGGAAGGCTGAAGATAAAGCAAGGAACATGAAGAAGAAGAAAAGCCGAGGCATGTGCTTTTCGGGAGCTGATATTCATACTTGTCTTCATTTTTTTTAATATATTTTTATTCTTCATATTTCCTATTCTACCCCTTTTAGTATTTCAATTCGATAGTAAACCCCTTGGAGAGCCTCCCCATTCTGCGAGAAACACTCGTGAAACGAGGATAACATTGTTTTGCTATCTTGACCAATCACTGTATGCCATTCGGGATAACTTTTCCACTTGGAATATTGTGATTAGTTAGGGATAGCAAAACAATGCTATCCCTGTTGCACACAAGTTTTTCTGCCATTCCGCAGCTATTAAATTTTGCATTCCGTCGCCTCCTTTGGCAGAGTAGGGTCACCCCAAATTCTTAAAAAGCTTGTTTCTTTCTCTTTTCCTCCACCTACAGCATCACCTTCAAAAAAGTAAAGAAAATCACACCAATTTTTTATTTTTATTTTTCTAGACGTAAAAAACAAAATAGCACTCTTGAAATGGGTGAGTGAGCGTGTCCTTTATTAAAGTCATCTCATGTTTACATTTTCTGGGCTAAATTTTTAACAAGTGGAGAAAGCCTGAATTGCTTAAGAAATACACGTAGGCTTGAGTATGCCCGTCCTCTTACATTCGATCTCCTTTCCTATACATTAGAGTAGTTTGGAATATCAATATAGAATCCTAATAATAAAAAAAAGGGAATTGCCCAAGAAATGCAGAGGTGGGTTAGGCATGTTGGCAAGGTAGTGTGCCTGTATCCTTACACTCAAATTCAATTCCCCTCCCCATATATTATACTAGTTTAGAATATCGCTATAAAAAAATTATTAAAAAAAAGGACTGCTCCCCACACTTGAGATGCAACCGTGCAGTGCATGAAGACATAATCAATTGGATGTGGATATTGATTTGGGCACAAGGAGGGTGAGACACAACTCATCCTTTCCCTCACCAATCTCTTTGACTAATAAGTCCTCAAGTTGCCTCTAAGCCCTTCATATTTTTCAGGACTCATAATCTGCTTTTCAAAAGATTGATGTGATTGTTTTTACTTCGTATTAGATATAGACACTTGGAAATGAAAGAAAGCCCTGAAAAATCTCAATGTCATGCTAAATGCTTGGAGTACATATATATGATCTGCTATTTTCTTGATGTGATCCTAATTAATTTAATCTCCTGTTTATGTTTTGTTGTTGTTCAACTATTTCCCCACGTTCATGGTACTGGTGTAGCAGCCTTCAATGCTAAATTTTAATCATCCCTTGATCACGATTAGGTGCTAATTAAACCACTTCTGTTCTTAAACTTCAAGTCTAGTCATATAAGATTTTAGTAACTTCAGTTCTCTTGCATTATCAGTAAAATAAAATCCATGCACAAAATCAAAATGCAGCTTCTTTGTCAAACAGAGCTATATGATAAGAGTAAAAGGATCTGAAAGTACAAGGGTGATTGTTTAATTACTTATTGATGGACTAAGCTCATGCTTAGCAAACTCTAAAATTATAAGCACTCCATGACACACAACATATTTCAAGACCATTCTCAGTTCTCACATACCAAAAGCCCTTATACTTAATGTAACTACCTCAAATTTACCAACACTCATAAAACTTGATATCCACCTTGAGCCTGAAGTAGACTTCACCTTCATATGCGTCGGTGTTGATGGTTGCGATTCCCCGGTGCATGAAAAAGTCTCCGGTGCCACCGACCACAGATATGTCCCTAGTTTTAATCAAAATGGGATCGGCCCCAATGAAATTTATGCTGCCTTGGTAGTCTGTGCTGTTCAGAGCAAATGAGAAGCCAAGCCAAGAAGTGAATGTGTTCTTTGTATCATATATGTACATCCCTTGAGCCCTGCCAACAGGCTTGGAGTGCAGATTGTTGTCAAGGGTGATGGGATCGTCGAAAACCGCTATGTTTCCGAAATGAAATTGGGGTGCCAAGATGGTTAGATTGGCTCCTTGAGGAGCTGCTACAATTGCTGATGTAGCATTGGCAGCATTTTTACCGTTGTAAATAATGTCGTGGAAGAATAGCACCAAGTGCTTGCATGGCTTGTACTTGTTTTTATTTCTTGGGAAGGCTGAAGATAAAGCGAGGAACATGAAGAAGAAAAGAAGAACAGAGGTTTTTCTTGCTGCCATTATGGGTGATGAAAAAAAGAAGAAGCAAAGAGGCAGAAGAGGCAGAGAGAAAAAGGAAAATTGGAAGATTCCAAGTTCACTAGGGTGAGCTTTTGCTTCTAGCTCTACTTGTGAGTTTGCTATATCTCTCCCGAATAATGCCTTTATATAAGGACTTGGAAGCTAGAAATATATCTTTTTCTACACATGGAGTTACTATTTTTATGGAGATAAGGATTCGAAGGTTTTCTTATTAGACTTTTCCTCTTGATTGAGCTTGCCACCTACTACTATTGTGCCCCACCAAGAAAATAACCAACAGGATTAAGAAATAGCAACACAGCCTTAGTTTGACTCCCTAAGTAAGCAGCATCACCCATGAAAACTTCTCTCTACATCCCTGTTTTCTGGGTCCAACTAGGGACTTTTTCCTTCAAATTGATTTCGAAAGAATGAACTTTTTGACGAGTAATGACTGAGGATATAAATCATGAGAAAGAAACAATACTAAGTCGTGACGACCTAATGAGATAATGTTCTTTTTTATGAGATAAATTTCTATGTTATATTGTCAAATTGCTAATATATTGACCTCATATTCAAATAATAATCCACATTTTAAAAATCTTAGATGCGTAATTTGTTACGTAAACATACAGAAAATTGTGCAATAACACAGCATTTTCCTGATTTCAGATGTCATCAGACACCATCACCGTACAAAGAACTTTTAAGGGAAGCTCTCGTCTTATGTGATTGACATTTCTGACACGAACCATAGCCTCAAGTAGTTGCGGGAAGTTTCAGCTAACAGCATACATGAACAACTCCTTCCTTTTCCTGTGAAACTTTTTGTGAAGCGTATAAAGAAAATAAAGAAATAAAAAGTTTATTTTATTGGCGCGTTATGCTTTGATATAATTACTTCTTCTGTTTGGTAGCTCCTCAATTATGTATTTCGTATGAAATATTTTTTTAAGCAAAAGCTAGCCACTTATGATTGACTTTGTTTAAGTTGCATCATGTGGAGCACGACAAGAACGAGATTAAATTTAATTTCCAGGACAGGCTGCTAAATATAATAATAATAGTAATAACAAAAAGAAAAGGCTTTAAAAGAGTTGGGCTCAACCTCCACTGGCATTCACTCTTCAGCAACGAGGCCAAATTGAAAACCGCTGTAAAAGTCCCAAGTCATAATTACCAAAGCTAATAATTTAGAGAATCAATTTTTTCTTCCCAAATGCTAAAAATTTAACATCGGTTACAGATGTGAATTAAGTCAGTTGGCCAAGATAGTGTGCTCACCTCCTTATACCCAACTTCAATCCTCCTCTCTCTGCATTACAGTTGTCAATTATAATCAAAATTTTAATATATGATATGTAGAATCTGCATGTTATGTTATCATATCGTCAAGAATTTAAACTCTTAACATGTTTTGGTTCACCACAACAAAGAAAACAAAACTGCTCAAATTAATAAATTGGCATATTATTAGCCTTCGGTGGAAACAAGACAAGTTGTATACTGATTGGGGTCCCATGATTGTCGAATTTGTGCACCTTTTTGCATTCTATTCTGGTGGGAGATTGGTGGAGGTAGGTGTTGATTTATATTTGAGTGCTGGTCCAAATGAAAAGTGACATATAATATACTTCTTCGAATATATGGTAGGTGAGCTCTAATAAGTCCAAGCTCAAGTTAGTCAAGTGTACCTCTTAACATTTAAAATGACAAAAAATTGACCATTAGTAAGGAAAGAAAAAGACATCCAAAATATTTCGTTACCTTTCTTCAAAAAATAACCCCTTTAACTAGGTTATTAGCAAAATTAACCATTTTTATAAAGTAAGAAAGGCTGTATCTTAAATGATTAAAAGTATTTATCTTTATACTTAAAATCGCTCGTCTCTTTTTTAGTATTACTTACTTGTGTAAGAAAAAAAAAAAAAAAAAAAAAAAAAAAAAAATTTTTAAAAATATAATATTCTAATAAGTGGCCAATAGTGGATGGATCGTCGGTATGCGCTGCCCTACAACCGACTTAATTCCCACTCCAAGTCCAATTAATCGTCATTTCCAATGTTGAAGTATAATAATTCTTTTTTAGGTTGACATACCTAATCAATAAAATAAAATACATTAGTTCATTGAGTTAATTATCGCGCTGTGCAGAAAATTCTGATTTCAACTGTAGTGTACTGTGGTGCCAATAATTTCTTACGTACTTTAGTTATTTTTTTTCGGGTGATAAGTTTCTCATTCTTTATTGAAAATGAAAGGTCTAGGTGAATGGTTGGTGGATTCCACTTCCCCTCGCATGGCACAAGGATCGAATCCAAAGAGATTTCTTTCCTCCAATGTAAGTTGTAACTATTTTAGAAGAAAAAAAAGGTCTAGGCCGACAGGGTTAAATCAAGTCATGTGTTTTTTTTCCCCAAGAAATCAAGTCATGTGCTTTTTTTTTTCCCCCAAGAAATCAAGTCGTGCTTGGGTTGATCAAGATTGGCCTTTTTGATTACCTAATCTCTGTTTGGTGGAATAAACACACCCTAAGGTCTTGTTTGGTTCACAGAATGAATTTGAGGGGAAATAATTTCTCATGTCATTTTTCAATGGATGGAAAATGGAAGATTCATTTCCCGCGTTTGGTAATGTTGGAAAAGTAACTATGAGATATCACTTTATTTCCTTTTTCATGTTTGTTTTGAGTAGAAATGGAAAATAAAGTTTGTATAAATTTTTAATTATACCCATATTAAATCAAATAAAAAAAGAATGCATTTAATGATATATTGTAATTCTAAATTGTTAATAGGAACAAAATGATCATGAAAAATATTAATTTTATATTGGCTCATTTTCCCAAACTATCCCATGAGGAGGAAAAACAAAACCCAAGTTGGGAGGATGGCTTTACTTTCTCCTCTACTTTCTCATGGACCAGACAGCGATTTCTCATGTCTGGACTTACTAAACATGGGAAAACAATTAATTTCTCATTCCCAAGTCTCCTTTTTCATTAACCAAACGGGACCTAATATTATTTTAGTAGAAGGAACATGCTGCTCTCTTTTAAATAATTGTGTAGCAGCTAGACAACACAAATGAGAGAATATTGGAACCTCCCCTTAGGTGACTCATCATAATAGCAATATAGAGAGGAAATCAAGCCATCAAGTTAGACTGCATGAAGAAACACAAGTAGCCATAAATTCCTCGCTTAGATAATCAGTTGAAAATTCTTGCAGATATTTAAAATTTGCACTTTTGAAATTTATAAGTGAGGGTTTGCTGGCACGATCGGAGTTAGGAAATCCTTGTCGTGTTTGGGGTTGCTAGCTTCTATTTATATTGTGATTGACTAGTTTTTGAGTTTATGATTTGTTTCTTGTGGAAGGAAACTTGTTAGCTTAGTGTGTAGCTCTTGGCTGCTTGTGTTGTGTGTGAGTTTTGTTTGAATAATAATTCTCTTCGTTTCAAAAATATACAAAAAGGTAATGATAGTAAAGCCATTCTACATGAACTTCGTTCTCACCTACCGCATCAATTATAGTTAGAACATACAGTTTTTATATTGAGTAATATAACCCTGACAATATTTCGTTTTAGTGAAATAATAGTGTATTCGTACGATCACTAAATTCCATTCACCAAATTATGTGACAATGTAATTCATTAATTCAAATATGCGTTATATTTGAACTTCGCTTGTTTTTAACTAGTAAGATACTAAAAAGTGTACATTCATATAAGAGTAGCGATATTCGCATCCCTTTCCTATTTCTCCATGAGAGTGATGCTATTTCCATTTATGTAATTTTTGTTCTCCACCCACCTTATATATTTTCACCTACCATCAAATTAAAAAAAATCAGCGATACTCTCTTCATATAATTTGATAATTAAAAATCTGATCATTCGTAGCATTATTTATAATACAAATTTATAAAAGAATTCAAATTATATGTAATTCAGTGTGTTAATGCAAATGCTAATGTTTGGTGGTTGGAATTTATCTATCAAAATTATATAAAATGGATAAATTTTCCTTGCAATTACACCTCGGCAAACGAGAAGTTTCGCTAGTAATTAAGGTTACTACCAATCTTAACTTCCTTATATCCTCTCTCTTATTAGTGAGATTCCAACACAAGTAGAACTATTATTATAACAGTCGGGGAAATCTCTGACTAGCAATGTCAACCTTACGAGCTTTTCTTACACTAGGAATATGTATAACATCTCTCTCACAATCAACTGCCCTCCTCATTTGAATTAAAATCATATGATCAATTATTATGAGAAGGACATATTATACATGCACATTTATCGCACGTAAGACATTCTTGAACCCTAGTGGAACTAATAACATTCATACAACTTGATGTCCATCTTGAGGCGAAAATAATATAAACCCTGGAAAGTATCTGTCTGAAATGTGGCAATTCCTCTAGCCATGAAGAAGTCTCCGGTCCCTCCAACAACCGAAAGATCCCTAGTTTTTTCCGTCATCAAATCGGCGCCCATAATATTCAACGTGCCCTTGTGCTCACTTGAGTTGAACACCAAAGTGTACGCAAACCAAGCCGTGTAGGTGTCTTTCCTGTCGTAGAAATAGAAGCCTTGAGCTCTTGCCACGGGTGGAGAATGAAACTTGTCGTCGATGGTAATGGGGTCATTAAAAACAACAAGCATACCAAAATTAGTGTCGCTGAGCTTGCTTGCATTTGCCGCGGTTGCAGACGTGGCATTGGCCTTGTCCTTCTCCGTGCCGTCGAACAGCTTGTCGTGGTAATACAGCACCATCCTCTTGCATGGCTTCTCTGCTTGGAATTTTGAGGCTCTGGTTGCCGAAACAGATGGGGAAATAATGAGGGCCAAAATAATGAAGCTACTTTTTGGTGAAAAAGTTGTCATTTTGTTTGCTATTGGAGGTTTGATCCGATTGTTGTTTTCATTTAGATTGAACCACCTGGTTGGTTCAACAATCAAAATAGCTATAAGCTTTTGTAGCTCAAGTGATATAAATGGGATAAAATAAATCATAATAAGTTAAGTTCCTCGATGAGCCACCAAGAATGTGCCTACACTCATACTTTCTAATTTTTACCTGTTCCGTGCTCTAAATTTCTTTTTAAC